TCTGGCCAGTCAAGGCCTCTGAGTGAGCAGCCTCTGGAGCCAGATTCTGAGGGTGGGCGGGCGTGCTCTTTGGTGTTCCCACTGCCCCACTTGGGGCTTCTCTTGTGACCATTTCCATCTTTCTTCCACCTCCTGCTTTTAACACCCTGCACTCTTAGCCCTCTGTTGTCACATTCTTGAATATTCGTGCCCACAAGCTGTGTTGCGTCATGGCCTTTGTCCTATTCTTTGGGATGGTCCTGGGGATTGTAAACTCAATGGTGGGTCCCCATCAAACCCACCCCACAACCCCAGCATTCCCCACACCACTCTCAGACCTACAGTTAAAGGACCATTCCCAGGATCTAGTCCTGGACTGATTGATGAACCTGTGCAGTGGGCACCTCTGTCCCCCACAGGGTCTTCTGGGGTGAGGTCAATGAGTGGGTGGTGTCAAGAGGAGGCTGAGCGAAGCCTGGAATGTAGACAAAATAGGCAAGTTGAGAACTGTGGAGGGCTGCCGGGAGCAAAGGCCGAGTAGCGCGAGGTGTGTTCACGGTGAGAAGACTCATACTGGGCTGGGCAGTGGCAGGTGGGGTTGCCAGTGGGGTAGTGTGTGCCTGGCATGTTCTCATCTGTCCAGTGAGGTGTGTGGCCCTGGGGTGCCCACATGAGTAGAAAGTGGCCTGAGCTGAAGCTGACCGTCCATCCTCACATGCAGAGGGAACCACTGTAGCCCTTCTGAACCACATCACCTGCTGTGACCCTGATCCTTCACCTGCACAGACTCCAGGTCAGCAGCACCATATCCATCCAGAGAGACAGTCCCTGGCTGAACAGAAAGGACTTGCTACCACTGCTGCTTGGGATGCTGCGTTCTGTGCTGAGGACGGATGACTGACAGCTTTCTCCCATTTCTTTCATTTCAGGCTCAGTTTTCAGATAAGCCCGTCCAAGATCGGGGTCTGGTAGTGACAGACCTCAAAGCTGAGGATGTGGTTCTTGAGCATCGCAGCTACTGCTCAGCGAGGGCTCAGGACAGACACTTTGCTGGAGATGTCCTGGGCTACGTCACTCCAGTAAGTTGTGGCCTTCACAGTGCAGAGGGAGGGCCTGAGGCTCAGACTATCTCTCCCCGGCCCCCATGATGGCCTGGCCTCTTCCTGGTCAGGCCTGACCTCCCTGGACTGCCACCATTCTGAGGCCACAGTGGGAGGGATACTATCTTGGAGATGGCAGAGTGAAGGGCACTCGGATTTTCTCTGGGAGCTTGCTCCTAGTGGCTGCAGGTGACCTTTGTTGGTACTCCCTGTATCCAGAGGTGGGCTCTCAGGCCATGTGGCCCCAGCTGCCAGCCTGCAGCAGTGGTTGTGCACCAGCTCAGGGCAGGGGCTTGTAGAAATGAGCATCAGTCTCCCTTGGTGAAAGGGACATCATGGCCAGGATCCCAGCAGCTCTCCAGAGTGGGAGAAGGGCCTCACCAGCTGGGGGCTGATGTCAGCCGAGCTGAGAGCTGTCTGCACAGGGCAGCTGGCCCCAGGTACATCCAGCGCAGCCAGAGGTGAGGCAGGTGTGCGCTCACCCATCTGCTATCTCCTTCCTCTGCCAGTGGAATAGCCATGGCTACGACATCGCCAAGGTCTTCGGGAGCAAGTTCACGCAGATCTCACCGGTCTGGCTGCAGTTGAAGAGACGCGGCCGTGAGATGTTTGAGGTCACGGGCCTCCATGATGTGGACCAAGGTTCTCACCTTCCTGCTTCTCTGTGCTTGTCGCGTGGGCTCAGAAGGGTATGAGAGAGAATGTGTGTTTATGTGAGTGTGAGAGTGTGTCTTTGAGTGTGAATGTGGGTGTGTTTCTCTGTGTGTGACCATGAAGTGTGAGCATGTGAGTGTGACTCTGGGTATGGGGGTAGAAGTACACATGTGTGAGTGTGATGAACATGTGGCCCACTCCCCATCCCCCACAGTTGAACCTGGAGAGCAGGCCCGTGGCATGGGCTGGTGTACAGGTAGGAAGGCAAGTGGAGCAGGGCGGGCTGGGTGAAGGTGGTCCCTGTGGTGGTCACCACTGTAGGACCCTGTGCAAGCCCATGTCAGTGCCTCAGAATGGTCCACCTGGCTCTGCCCCAGTGGTCTGGGTGGCCATGGGGTGGTCCTTCCCTTACACGTCTGAGCTGTGCATGACGTATGCAGGGCAAGCTCCAAGATGACTCAGGCAGCCTCTGGGCAGTGCAAGGCACAGGTCGTTGCCCACCCCCAACCCCGTCCCTCCCTTAGTTTCCACTCGATGTCCAGGAAGTCAGGGGACCAGGCAGGGGGAAGCTCCCCTGGTGGCACATCCTGTCAAAATGTTCCTGAGTTTGTACAGCTGAGCCTCACATTTGGGCTCTGACCGAGAACTAGCAAGGGGGAGTGTTAGCCAGTTTTTTTTTTTTTTTTTTTT